CTCCTTCTGAGTAGCTGTGCCCAGGTCAGCCCACAGAGAATGCTCCTGAAAACAAAGGAAGGCAGTATTTATTCCCTCCAACAACCCGACCATACTACATGCCCCACACCGCCCATACCATCACCACCCCCAAAAAATAAACATAAGCCCTCTCTAGAACTGTTTTATTAGGGAAGAAGTTTTACTGGGAAAACATTAAGTAAGTTCGAAAAGACTAAGTACCTTTTTCTTAAAAAAAAAAACTTCCCTCTTGTAGTTCCCTCTAAAGTTTAGTCAGTTAAAATGGAAACAAACAAACAAAACACACTTCAAAATACATCATATTAAAAAGCCATCCATAATTGGAGGGATCACTTGGGATGGAAGATGTGTGCTGAAGTAGACTGAGGACCAAACATGATGGCCTCTCAGTATCTGTATTGCAAACCATGCTGCCCAAAAAGTAGAGAGAGGGAGTAAGAAGGAAGGTGCCTGCCAGAGGTGGGGTTAGCGGGAGGGATACTGGGGACATTGGTGGTGGGAAATGCACACTGGTGGAGGGATGGATGTTCAATCACTGTAGGGCTGAAACTCAATCATGAAGGTTTTGTAACTGTATCTCTCGGTGACTCAATTTAAAAATAAAATAAAATGCCATACATCACTCCAGCAAAGAGAAATATCTGATGCCAGATTCAGCATGCTTTAGTAGAGGAGAGACACACACTTTGATCCTTTCCGCAAGAGGGTAGGGATCTGCCAGATGCAAAGAATGGGGAAAAACTCTTTTAAAAAAAAGTGCAAAACTGAAAAGCACCTTTTCTGTTTATGAAATCTACAAAATGAAACACAAAATTGGGAGATGAGTAATAGGCTTTTATTCTCCGGCAGTGGCAATATATGTATATATATATATATATATATATATATAGAGAGAGAGAGAGAGAGAGAGAGAGAGAGACTGTCACAACGGTCTAGTGACCTAAAAATTCTATTTACAGAAACACTGCCATGAAAAGTCCAAGTCAACCCAACAGCAATGGTCTATTCAGTATTATCTTCTCAAGCTCTGATGGGACTCCAGTCTGTTTGTATAAAGAAAGGTCTTACTGGAACAGAGTCACACCCACCTGTTCAACTGCTGACCAAGTCCACAGTGGCAGCAAAGAAAGACACCATATGGCTCACGGTGATAGATCAGGTACTAACTAGTCTCTTAGCAAAAAGTGAGCAAACTCCTATTCTTTACAAAAGCAACAGGGAGTGGAAAAGGTGACTCTATTTAGTATCTACACAAAACCAAGACAAGGTTTACAGAAAGTTGCACTCGCCATTAAGTAATTTAAAACATACCTTTCGAATGTCCAATTAAATAAGTGTGCTTCATTTAGACACTCTTTTGATGAACACTTCAGAAGTTCAAAAATACCACACTGTATAAACTCCATTACACAGTCTGACAAAAGTTTAACACCTAAAAAGGTTTCCTTCTCCAAAAATCTTAATATTTAAAAAGGTTTCCTGCTCTAAAAAAATTAAGGAATGTTTCCTGACCATCTGTCTTTCTCATTCCCACTGTGCACACACACAATTAAATAAATTTTCTAAGTATTTTGAGCAGACACATGTAGGGATCATTGGGGTATTAGTCACAAAAAAAAAAAAAAGGAAATCAGCAGTTTAGTAGTTTAGCAACAGAGTGCCTGGTTCCACTTTAGTTTTATGTATAAATTTAAAAATTCTCTGCTGCCATTATATTTAGTAAGTATATTATACTTTCTTAGTTATATAATCAAGATTATCCACCCATATTCCCCATTCAGGTAAAAGGTGGAGAAATTAAATCATTCAAAAACTTCTTATGATATTTTATTATATAGTTACAAAAATGCTAATAAAGTAACAGCAGATAAAGCAACTGGGAGCTCACACAGATCATACATACCATTCCCAAGATGCCCTTTAAGCATCATAGCGACTAGTATCGTATTTGTATATAAAATACTAAATAACTATCCACAAACTCCTGAGCAAATATTTTATGGGACAACTATTTTCATTTGACTGAAAACAGGAATGTGGACAGAGCTACTTTGTACAGCTGCATCTAGACTGAACATTTTTTAAATTCCAAAGTCTATTTAAAAAGGGGGTGACACGGGAAATAAAACCTGAGAGGGATTTAGGGACTTATCTAATGAAACCATTTCTGTTCCAAAATCGCACTCAAGAATCCCTGTTTTCTCCAGATGGCCTAAATGGTGGCCACATCAGAAATGTATGTATGTACATTTCACAAACTTCAGACCCTAGGTAAAGGGGGGTGGGGAATGAGGGGGAGGGGGAGGGGGAGGGGGAGGAGGGGAAGGAGGAGGAGGAGGAGGAGGAGGAGGAGGAGGAGGAGGAAGAGGAGGAGGAATAATCTACATTTCAGTAAGAGCACAACACTCCTGGGATCTTAATCTTGCAATGCATGCGTGCAAAACACTAGAGCCCAAATGGCCTGTGACCAGCCCCCAGGCTTTGCAGGCTAGTTATTTCCACAAACTGTAGCAGCACTTTGCGTCATTTAACACTGGTTTTCATTTTCCAGGTATGCTCTCGCCACATCCTCCAATCTCCCCTCTGTTCCGCAAGCTGCCTTCATACCAAAGGGCTTTCCTCATTCTTGGACTCGGTGCTGTTTGACTGGGCTGGGGGTAAAGGGGTTGGTTGGGGAGGAGGGGGGCGGAGGGGAGGGCGGTAGGTACAGAAACTGTCCAGCCAGGAAATTGTGAAAGTGATTTAAAGAAATTATCCTGACCAGTAAGCAGTTCGGGTGATAAGGTTTGCAGCTGAGCTGCCACCCTTTTCACTTAAATGCGACTGAGATTCCGACTCCGTCTTGGCTGTCACTTTCAGAACCTTGCAGACTCAAACCCCCTTCGGCCGCAATTTTGAAAGTCTCATTCGAGTGTGAGCAATTCGAACATTTCAGTGCAATTGCAGCGGGGGTGGGAAGCCAGACGCTGAGAGGGGTCGGAGGAAACCCGGGCCCCCACCCACCCACCCAGCTGTCGCCTGCACTTCGCACGCAAGTCCCGCGACGCTCCGACGCTCCGGGCAGAAACTTTCCCACCTCGCCGACCGGGCCCGGTAGGAAGTACCCGCCCTCCCGCGCTGCCCTCGCCGCCCGTTGGCTGCCGCGCCCGTCGGTTCCGCGGAGGGGCGGGAGCGGAGTCCCGGGTTGGAACCGCGCCGAGCGTTCCCGGCCTCCCCACCCACCCCGAAGAAGGAACCGGCCTTCTCCACGCGTGCCCTCGCCTTTTTCTTTCGCCCGCCCTCCTTTCACCGTGCCTATACCAAGTCTGCCTCTTTCGACTTCTCCGAGAGGCAAAAGTTTTGCAGAGTTCCCCATATCTTCCCCGCCCCAGCATGCTCGCCGTCCTAGAGGATGCTGCGGTTTGAGACGAGAAAGTAAGCGATGGGCTGGTTCTCCCCGGGACTACGGAGGGTGCCTTCCCAGGCCAAGAACAGGCTGCCGAAGGTCTGCCCGTTAACCAGTGCAGTGGTCATCACCGAGCAACATTCGGCATGCACTCTGCAACAAAGCACTATTATTTTACCTCTGGCTTTACTAGTCATTATTTACAGCGTCTATTCGGGTTGCTCCGAAAGTCCCATAAGATCTTTGAGTGAAATGTCTACGCCATACTTCGACCACATCCGCAGCCACTCAAGGCTCTGCGGCACAGAAGCGCGGGCGCGCGCACACACACACACACACACACTCACACACACACACACACACACACACACACACACAACTTACCCTGTGCTTTATTCCTTAACTCAACCTGGCAAGACACACTGCTGCTACTTGCAAGGAATGTGCATACTCCCTCAAACTACAAATTCCGTGAAGAAAATTAGAAAGGGCATTTCTAATTATAACCGGTACACAATGCTCTAAAAAAGAAAAAGAAAGGAAGGAACCTATGGGCATCTGATCTTTTCAACTGCACGCGAATATTGGAGGTCTTAAAGCAGGAGGAGAACAATTTCTCTTCTGTGTCATCACCAGAATCCATCCACTGATGGAAACATTGCTTGCTGTACCATGAGTCTGAGTACTGACCCCGAATAAGGATCACAGCCGGAGAACACAATTCATCCATCTGCTAGATACACCACCTCCCAAGCCCTGCAGAATGCAGGAGGGAGGTTAACAGTTCTTCAACCTCACTGCAGCATCCTCAGGGTTGTGTTCACTTCCTGGAACTACCCCGGCAACGTGATCTTCTCACTGTTCTCCCTCCCCCAATCCTTTTAGGCTCCCTTCTTTCTCCTTTTAAGTCAGTCTCTGTCTCTGTCTCTGTCTCTGTCTCTCCCTCTCTCTCTCTCTCCACTCCCCCCCCCCCACATTTCCACGGCCACCATCGTCACCCTCTTACGACACTCCCTCTCCCACATTTGCTGATACAGATTAAGTCCCCCCTAACGCCCCTTCTCCTACAGATCGCCCCCTCCTTCCGGGTACCCCTGGAGCCTCTCCAGATTCTTTCCCAGCCGCTCCACTCCCACCACCCACCCAAACGATCTCCCAAGCGAACTTCACGCTTCTGAGTTTGGCTGCGGCCGAATCCTGACAGCCAGACCAAGCCAATCCGCGCGGGATAAATAACCGCGTCCGCCAATGAGCGGCCGCCCGGAGGCGGGAGGCGGGACTTCGCCCAAGTTCCTCCGGTCCTGAAACCAAAGACCTGTTGCCGCCGCTGCCAGGCCGCAGAGTTTCTTAGTTACCGCGGCGCCCACGGTGGCCTGGGGCCGCGGCCGCCGGGACCAGCCCTCGGGTCCCTGCCGCCCGCTCCCGCCACTTGCCAACCCACAGGGGCTCGAAAACCCCCTTCCCGGGCCGCGCGCGGGCGGCGCGCCCCGCCCCACGTCCCCCGAGCCGGAGGTTTCCCCGAGGCCGCCGGGCGCTGTCCCGGCCCCCGCCGGCCCCCCGCGAAGCCCTGAGACCCTCGAGAGCGATCACTTACCAGGCGGCGGCTGGGGGGTCCTCCGTGCGTCCGGCCGGCGAGCCGGGGCGGTCGGGCGGCTGGGCCGGGCGGCGCCGAGGACGCGCGCGCGGGGCCCGGGGCTGTGGCCGCGAGGCCCGGGGCCGATGGGCACCTCGCGCCGCGCCGCCCCCCGCGACGCTGCAGCCGGCGCGGGCACCCGCTGTGCGCACGGCCAGGCGCGTCCCGACTGCGAGCCTAGCCGCGGCCCATCCTCCCGCGGCCGCCGCTGTCAGGAGTGTAAACATCCCGGCATCCCCGAGGAGAGGGCGGGGCGGCCGCCGGCCACTCCCCGCGCCCCACGCCCGCGCGCCGCTGCCCTCCCGCCGCCGGCCGGCGCGTCCTCCCCGCGGCTGCCCGTGGGAGCCGCGCCCGGCCCCGCTGCGGGCCGCTTGCCCGCCTCTCCGGGAACCGCTCCGGGCCCCGTCTGGATTCTCCGCGCGTTTCGGTTGCTCCGCGCCGCTGACAGGTTCTGCGACGGAGCGGGGACACCCGCGCGTCCGAGGTCGCCGGGGTTCCTCTCGCACGGCCTCTGCGGCAGAGGACAGTGACTCTGTGTGGACCTCTCTGAGAAGCGAGCTGCGTGATTCCAGGGGGGATGTTTGGGATCTGACTTGGGGTTTGGGGGTTTTTTTGGGGGGGGGTGTTTTGTTTTTTTGCGGGGCGGGGTGGTGGCTCACCCGGAGATGCTCAGCGCTTACTCCTGGCTCTGTACTCAGGGATCACCTGTGGGGTGTCAGGACTCCAACCTGAGTTGGGCAACTTGCATGGCAAGTACATTAACCCCTGTATTATCTTCATTATGTAGTTCTTGCTCTGGAGAACCTGGCAAGCTACGGAAAGTATCCTGCCCACAAGGCAGAGTCTGGCAAACTCCCCATGGCCTACTCAGTATGCCAAAAACCAATAACAATGATGGGTCTCATTCTCCTGACCCTGAAAGAGCCTCGATTTTGGCACTTTGTAAAATCTCAGGGCTAGGACGAAGGAGACGTTAGTGGTATCTGCTCGAGGAAATTAATGAACAGGATGACAGTGACAATGATTATCTCTCTAGTCCCCCCCTCCCCCCCACGGGGGGGAGGATAGAGAGAGACAGAGACAGAGAAAGAAAAGAGGGAAGGGGAGGAAAGGCTTTGAGAGGGATTTTGAATCCACTGGGAGTGTTCACGCCACACGATTCCCGGCACATGACTGAAGGAGACAGTAGGAGGCAGTATAGAGTCAGCAGCCCCTTGATTCTAGTCTAACCCCACCACCACCACCACTACCACCATCACCATACTTGATTAATGCTGGATCTAGAGATGCTGGTGGTCACCAGGAACAGTTTGGAGTGGAGTGACTTGCTCCTGCGTCGGGGGAACCTCCAAGACTGAGCGTGTAAAGGAATAGGCCCCACTTCTTCAAGCTATCTCAGTGCACCAAACACCTTGATTCTGATCTGATTGAATCTGTGACCTGTGGCAAGTTGCTTCATCTTGCAAAGTCTCAGGACCTCTGTAAAAAAAAAAAAACACAAAGAGTCTTTACACCTAGGTCTAGGATTACAGCTAGAATTAAATGAGATAAAGCTCAGTGCTGAAGCACAACAGCCTAATATCCCTGAAGTGCTCATAAAACACCTGTACTCCTACTTCTTTCCCTAGTTTTACCTCTCAACAAAAGAGTCAAATCTCGAAGTAGATTATGGCTTAAATATTTTAAAGTTTTAGGCTGTGGAAAATTAAGACTCAGAAAGTTTGTGTTTAGCAAAAAAAATAGATCATGAAGTCAAGAGATGCTGATTTCAGTCACTCGGGATGTTTTAATAAATGTGCTGAGCAGTGAAGATGCAGTAGCTCAAGATACAAAGCCCGTGCATACAGGGAGCTTTCTTGCTATGAACAGCTTATTTTTATTAAGTAGTAGTAAAAATAAAAACTACCAGCGAAAATGCAATGATAACAAGTGAACACGGGCATCCCATGTCAGCTGACGATCAAGAGAAAAGTAAAGCAGGGTGAGGCAACACGGAACTCAAACAAATGTGTTTTTCCCGGAAGACCCCTCTGACATGTGAGCAGAGAGCCAAAAGAAGTAAGAAAATGAGCGAGGCTTTTATCCAGGAGCAGGGAGTTTTGCACAGAAGGAATAGTACAGGCAAATGCCCTGCAGAAATGAGCTTGCCATGTTGGAGGAATCAGCAAGAGACCCAGGCAGCTGAAACTCAGTAAGGGAGAACATAAGCTAAGAACCAGGAAGGAGGATGCAGATATGACTAGGGGACAAATGGAGAAACCTGTGACCTTTCAAAATTTGCCTAGCCATCCATTTATTTTGAGCTACACCTGGGACTCCGCGTGCAAAGAATGTGCTCCAGCCCTCTGAGCCATCTCCCAGGCCTTAGAGTTTATTTTTAGTGATTTGTAAAGCCATTGTAGGAATGACTATGTGGACCAGAGTTAGAAAAGAACATCTGTGCTCTGGAGAGTAGGCTGCAGGATAAAAGATATTGATGACATACCATGTGCAGGTTATAATAGTGGAAGTTGTAAAAATGATCAGATTAGATATATTTTCACCAGTGAGTTGGAAGGGATACCAGGAAGTAGGGCATTTTCCTTGCACGCAGCCAACATGGCCTACCCGAGTTCGATTCCTCTGCCTCTCTCAGAGAGCCCGGCAAGCTACCCAGAGTATCTCGCCCACAGGGCAGAGCCTTGTAAGTTACCCGTGACGTATTCGATATGACAAACACAGTAACAAGTGCCACAATGGAGACGTTACTGGGCCCCCTCGAGCAAATCGATGAACAACAGGAGGACAGTGACAGAGACAGAGACCAGGAAGTAAGGAAGCAAGGATATATATCAGTGGAGTTGGGATTTGAACCTCACCGTTGTGTCAGCTCAGGTCATACCAAACCAAAGCCAGCTTTAAACTGAACAGTGTGATTTAAGACACATCATTCAGGCAGGCAGATGTGCCAGATATGCCAGGAATAATAGTGCAGGGTGCTTTCCTTGCAGGCCAAGCCAGACTTAATTCCCCAACACTCAATATGGTCCCCTGAGCACTTCCAGGAGTGACCCCTGAGTACCACCAGATATGCCCTCCAAAAAAACAAAAAAAGAAAAATGCAAGATATTCCCAGGGTGAAGACATTACAACCTGATGCTTGAGGTCCAGTTAAGGTATTTTTTCTTCCAAATTATCATGTATAGTTCTTCTTAAAAAATATTTATAGAATAATTGACAGATTGAAAAATAATAAAATATCCCAGTTTACATAAAATTAAGATTAACCTACAGAACAGATCTTTTATTGACTTAAGGAAATTATATACCTCATGAGTACTGATTTGGATGAATTCATGAAATCCTAGGAATGCTAAAGTCACCAAGAGTTCACGTTTCCAGATATTCTACCAGTGGGTATATGGTGTACAAAGCTGTAAGATCATCTGGACATGTCCTGTTTCTTCACTTTATGAAGTGACAGCGCTACAGCTAAATGGTATAGTATTTAAATTTCATTAAAATGGTCAGACCTGCACTTTGCACTTTCTCTGTGGCACTTTGTCTCCAGGTGGTAGATGGGCAGGGTTTCCAGGGGCCTTTGTGGGCTTCAAGGATCAGCAGAGTCCTGGACAATTCTGCCAGTTTTTCTATACCCATTTCAATAGCACTTGATCCAGAAATGCTTGTTTGACTCCACAAAATGCATTAATTACAGCCCTTTATGTGAGCTCTGTAGAGTTTATATCTAATCCCCAGGCACTGCGTTCTATCAGATTCACTAATAGTTAAACTATCAGATTCACTTTGCTATGAGTGTATTTATTATATTTATTTATTTATTATACTTTCAAAGCTTTAATAATTTCCGGGTCTTTGTGTATTATTTGTGGCACTTTGCCAGCTCCCTACAATTAAAACAAAACTTGAAGGTAGTATTATCTACCAAAACTATATTTTAATCAGAATAACCAGGACCAATTGTTACATACTTGGTTTGGCATGAATGATGCTACAGGGAGAGAATTTTGCTGGAAAACAAGATTTTCCTGATGAAGGACAGTGAAGAAATAATGAAAACTGCTCTGCTTTGAAAGAGAGTCTAGCCACAGGGGTAAACCAGAAAGGTCTAGCATAGTGCTAGCAACAGGTGTATTTTAAAAGCTCCTAGTGATATTGGCAGCCACCAAATTTGGCAGCTAAATGGTGACAAGGCTTAGTCAAGCTGTTGAAATGTCTGGCCTATGCTGGGCCAAGAGGCGGAAGTCAACGTGCAGACTACAGAGAATCAGGCAGATCACTTTTCTCTGGCCCTGGCTGTGGTACAGTGTCGGAAAATAAATCTTAATCTTACTTTGCAAACACTCCTGAAAAACATTAGAAAGTTCATTTTCTAATTTAATGACCCTTGGAATTTAATGATTAATGAATCATGCAGATGAACTGCCAGTTAAGACAAATAGCCCTGATATGAACTCCCATCCAATCCCTAGAATTCATAGCAGACAACTCTGATATGTCTCAATTATCTAGTTAATGGTATTTTGAGTATACAGTTCACGGTTAAAAATAGTGGCATACTGATGGTGGCTTTTTCCTGGCTATTTTTGCAGCAGTTATAAAACTGAGGGGACATTTCAATGCACTATACATATTTTTCATGTCGGAAAATGAAACATTTTATATTGATTCCCAAACAGGAAAATCCACGGTGTTACTTAGTTTTTTATAGCAACTTTGGTTCACAGAATACAAATAAATTTACACCTTTTGCCTTAGTATTATAGTCAGAGGGCCAATATGCAGTGTAATAAGTCAAAGCAATGAAGGAAAGATATTCAGAAATGATTTCCCTTTCCAAACCCATCTGTCCCTTCCTTGATATGGAGCCAAACTCCGGGGCTGTTTCATAGGAATACACTTACTCACATCGGTGACTCTTTCTCTCTGTCCCCTAGCACCTGCTAATAAGCTACACTAACAGAGTCCTAGAATGACTCTCAAGGGGACTATTTTTCTTAAAGAGTAGGTTTCTAAGCAATATTTTGCATGCACATATTTAGCTTGAGAAGGGTTCTTACAAGTATCCTGTGTTTCTGTGAAGCTCAATGAACAGAACCAATAATCCTGACAGAACTTCCTGTTCTGTCTTCCTCGGCCTCTTCTGTAAATCAAATAAACCCCTTTAGTTCTGAGCAATGGTAACAATTGTCTGTTTCCTAAATAAGACAGAATGGGAAATAAG